ACAGAACTATTATAATTTTACAATACAAATGTAATTGATATTTCATAATATTTTTCATTCCGTTTAAGTCATAATATTTATATATTGTAATATAAAATATTTATTTCCTTAAAAATTTGATGTTACAGTTTTTTTATCGGGAACGTAAATAACATCTAACGTTTTGTCCATGCATCAAAGTAATAATTCTAACATGGTCAGAGTTGTGGTCTACATTGGATTCGTCATCTATCTGATGGTCTTGGCTACAACGTGTTGTTGTCATCCTGTGACGTCTTCTGAAGTGGAAAGCATTGCTCGACCTACACGGCCTAAAACTTTCGGTTCACCAGATGAATTACGTTCATATCTAGACCAATTAGGACAGTACTTGGCAGTAGTTTCTCGTCCAAGGTAAGTTGCATTCATGTCACCATTCATTTAAACGAATATAGGTACTTAAATATTATTTTGATATTAATGCTCTAATTTATTATTTAGATGAAACGGTAGGATCAATTACATCTAGAAAATTAATATCATAATTATTACAATTTGTTTGACTCATATCAAAATGCCTTTAATTATTTAACTATAAACGGTTGTATATACTAATAATGTGTTATAGAACTACCTAACACATACTTATTAACACACAAAACAMTGAAAATACCTAATTATTACAATATATATATAAACACTATAAATCACTTGATTATTTTTCCTTGATTAATAAAATCTAGAGTTCAGATTAYCTAWATATTAAAGYATCAGTATTTTCAAAATTATATAAATCATTAAATTTATCAAACAATTTTTGTTTAAAATTAGATTTGGAAAAAGGAAACCTGCGTTTCCAGTTATCCCGTCCGCCTTCACAACACCAAGGTTACAGTACATCGACAATCAACGCATGCTTAACAATTTTATAAGCCGAGAAAACGAGGAAGCTTATAAATTACAATATAAACCGGCCATTATAAGAAATTCAAAAGACTTGTATGACATGTTGTTTACGACACGTCGTGAAAATGGCAACAATAATGACCGCCATCAATACTATTTAATGCAACAAGATATAACGAATGCAGACATTGGTTTAGATTCAAATTAATTATCATTAAAATTATTTGTAGTATAGTAATACACGCGTGTAATGTATTTATATTTCTTAAAAAAATTTAGTCATGTACAGGCACTATTGTACTAGTAATTAATAWTATAAGAATATTATAAAATGTTGTTAATTAAACAATATAAATTAAATCCATAAAAAAGTGTTGGTATAAGTACATTATATTTAATGCTTTTCTGGATTCTGGACGTTAGTATTATATTAGCTAAATTCAATACTATAAATAATAAAAATTTAAATTTGTTTTTAATGTTTGTTCTGAAAAATAAACAAATTTTATAA